GCGAAATCAACACATTATAAAGATTTTTATTTATTTGAGTTTTTCTTTCTAAAGAATCGTGCAATTTGTCTTTATGAGATTGGTTTTATCATTGTATACACATGAATAAAGCAAATGAAGGGCTGTTTCATCATTTACATCACGTATCGATAATTAAACATCTGTTTTTCTCAACAATTTCAATTGAGAATAAAAGAACCCTTTTTTTTAAAGTAAAATTGCATCCAAAAGTCGTTTAATTTGTACTGATTTTTTTTATTTGTCTGAGTAAAGAGTTATTTCAATCGTAAAAATGCTCATGTTGATTGTCGAATCACACATGTCAATACACACAAGAATTTCAATATACAGAAATATGACTACACAAAACACACAACAGAAAAAGTACACAAATAAACGTCTGTTAGGATTATGCCGTGTTCACGGCAAAAACTCTTCATTTGAATTGCTTAGATATTCGATGAAGTTGAATCACTGGAGTTATCTTGACACATATGTTTCACACGGTTCAATTCTTCAGTCAGCTTTTGAACTTTTTCATCCTGTTTTTGTACTTTATTTGAGCAATCATGAAAACCTTGTTTGACTTCACATTCTAAGGATTGGAGTTTATTTTGTATTTCAGTAATAGAATTTTGTACTGAATCCAATGTATTTTTTAGTTGTGTTATTAAATGTAACACATCTTTCTCTTCTTTGTTCGTTAAGCACGTTGTTGGATTGATGTTCTAAAAAGTAAAAAATGGTTTAGTATAAGACTTATATCTCTCAAATAAATGGATCATGCAGTTTATTTCTTGATCTTGAAGTGGTAAGAGATTATTCATCTTTTTATTGAACAAGATCTTCCTAAACAAAACCCAGGTCAGCAAATCCGATCGGATTCCTGGAAACGGAATTGCATTGGAATCCGACTAGAAAAATCCCGTCGGTCGTTCCAAATTTTATGAGCGATCTTTTTAGCTATGTTCTATGATGACCCTAAGAAAATCCAGGAAATTCGTGTTTCGGACCCGAGACCGTCGGAATCCAATGCGATTCCGTCACCAGGATTTCATCGGATCCGTCGAATCCCTGTAGGATCTGTTAAAATCCTATATTGGATCCGAGTATGGGATTGTTTGACCTGGGAAGGAACGAATTACCTTGGTGAAGCACACTTTTTCTTAAACAAACTAATGAAACGAAATGAATGATGTTTGCCGAGTTTTTAAATATAAAACACAAAGGAACAGTGAAATCTTGCTCTTGGCGAAGGAAAGATTGATACAGTGAAATAATTTTGATCGAATTTATTAAGTTTCAAAATTGAAATACTTTCGGAGATGTTGAAAAATTAAAAATATGGTTGTGACAAAATAATTAGGTTTCTCATGAATTAATTGAATAAAGTATGTAAAAATAGATAATACCATCGATCACTAATGACATCTAACAGATCTAGGTAGTATTGTGATCTTTCTTTCCGCTCTTTTACAAACGATAGTTTCTAATTGATACTATCGCACGGATAAAGATTGAATGAAACTGTCAGCTATTCGTTTTCCACAATCATACTTTTATGCAATCAACGCTTGAATCCCAGAGATCTCTGTGTATAGGTATATGGTATTTTGCAAACCGATATCGTCTCATATCGAATGCGGAGATAATAAATTAAAATTGTTGAAATGCATTAAGTAAAGTCACATGAACAGAAAAGAGCTAAATATCGGTGCACATGACCAAAATATTTTCCATCATCGAGAAATAATTCAAGAAAACTTGCTGCTGGTATGAATGGACATATGTCACACCGGCTACACAAGCGCATTTTTCATTGACAAAATGAAGAAAAAAGGAACGCTGGTTGAAGATCTTAAAAGAATACCAAGTTTTCGCATTTGATTGTCTTAATTATAGGATTAGTATAATCTACAATTTCAACTGATGACCCAGCGACAACTTAAGAAAGCTTCAAAGAAAATTCAATGTCATCTATCAGCATATCATGATTTAAAAGAGTACACATGTACAGTTAAACAGAATGGTCACATCAAAAGGTTGAAAACTTCAGATCTTTTTAAAACAGAAGTTTTGGTTTCCAAAAATTAAAGAAAAATTGGAAAAAAGAATTTCTTCAGGCTAGTACAATTTATTCTCATACGTTACCATCCAGTGGTTTATCTGTGCATGTTCTTTTATGGGAATATTTTTTGCCGGGGTATCCATCTCAATGCAAATGAAGACACTCGAGTCAACCATATTGTTACGTAATAGGAAATACTTTTGAAGTCAAACACTTCCAAAAAACGAAAAAATCATTACAAAGAAAAATGGAAAATAATCCACAAGCATGAAATCTTCTCGTAAAGATATTCAATAAGAAAACTCTTAAATCGAGAAAAATCAGAAATTTTCCAATCCTTGCTTTTCAAAAGCTCTATATAGTCATCCTATGACAGTTATTAGAAAACCTCATAAGCTCGGTTTAAATGAGGAAGAAGGATTCAATGAACATCGTTCATTAATCTATATCGAAACATAACCTTTAAGATTATATGATTTGCCTATTATTGGTTCAGTTGGTAATCGTACCCAAAAATTTTCCGAGAATTGTTAATTTATTATTATCATCAACTACTTGCACACAATTGTGACAAAGCTGAGTTGCGATTTATTAGCAATAAAATAAACTTAGGTATTTAATATAATGAGATACTATGCGAATACTATTTGTAAACAAGTGTTCATAAAATAACAGTATAAAAATGTGAAAATGTTCCAAAAGTGTTTTCTATTTAAGTTTTTGTATAGCTTTGCACTTTGATCTAACTTAATTATTATGTTTTAAAGTAATAGATAAATATAATGAGTGTTTATCCAGATAAGGAATATGGAAATCATTGTTCAAATATTTTGAATTGTAAAACGAAATGGAAATACAAAATTTTTTTCAAATTTAAAAACAAACATAATGAAACATTTCTCTCTTAGTCGTAAGGAATTATTGAATATTTTGATTATTGAAAACTTTTGTCTACTCTTCTATCTTTATATTATCGTCAGAAAGGCAGATCGATTGATATGACGTACTAAGTTGAAAATCGAGGTCACAGCTTCTTCATGTTATTTTTCAAACTTTTTTTCTAAATTCTCCTGGCATTTATTTTTAAATATTCGTTTGATCTTGGTTGAAAAATAAATATACGAAACACGTCGACGAAGCAATTTTCGCATTTACTTTTGATTAAAAATCAATAGGAAAGGCAAAAGAACAGACACTCATCTTGATCAATTTGCCTTAGTGATAACGGAAAATTAATTAGCAAGTGACTGCTATATTTCTCATACCTGATGCCGTCATGTGATATCGTTTTTGTTTATGCATGTTAGAGTATATTTGCTGACACAACGACAAAAATATTCACGAGGTAAACTTACTTCAGATATAGTTGATATAACTCGAAAATTAAAGTGTCCAATTGAGATGAACAATACAGAAACTTGCAATGATGAACAAGTAATCATTTGGCTTGATCTAGACATATATAATGAGAATACAGACTATCGTTTAACTGTGGATATATTGCAAGAGATAAACTGTCGTGTTTTATTATTCAACAATTCAACAACCTGTGTGGATCATATCCGATCAATTGAAAATACAAAGATATTTCTCATCATCTCGGGATTCTTTGCTAAGCAAATTCTGGCAGATATTCACCAGCTAAAAGGACTTCATTCAATTTATATATTCTGTACGAATAAATTCGAACATGAACATCTTTGCACAAAGTATCGACGAATTGCTGGAATTTATACCGATCGAAAATCTTTAAAGAACAGTATTGAGCGAAATATTCATATAATGAACAAACAAGCCTTTACAATTAGTTTGTTTGATCAGAAACAAAAACTGACCAAAGTTTTATCCAAAGAATCCGGTTTATTTCTTTGGTTTCAAATTCTAAGGAATGTTTTAAAACAAATTGATTCTGAACACTCAGATGAAGCGAAACAACAAATGATCAATATATGTAAAAATTATTATCAAAATGATGTAATAACAATGAAACAGATTAATAAATTTAAAGAAAGTTACAAATCAAACGATGCTATTAAGTGGTATACTGCTCCAACATTTCTTTACCGTACCATTAACCAAGCATTAAGAACAGAGGACTTAAAACTTATGTTTTCCCTTCGATTCTTTATTGTTGACTTATCCATTCAGATTCATCGTCTATTTGATGAACAGAAAAATACATTCGATTTACTATATCGTGGACAAATATTGTTCAATGAAGAATTTCAGAAAATTAATAACAATATTGGTTCACTTATTTCCGTAAATACTTTCTTTTCAACAACAAAAGATATCGAAATAGCAAAAAGATTTGTAGAATTGGAATCATGCACAGAAGAAGCTGATAAAACAGGCGTTTTATTCTATATTCGGATTGATACGTTACATTCCAAAACAATTATTTTTGCCGATATTGAAGAAAACAGTTTAATACCCGATGAAAAAGAAGTTTTATTTGACATTGGATCTGTTTTCGAGATTGAAAATGTCACTTATGATGATCATTCAAATTTATGGAAGGTTTTTCTAGTAACAACAGATAAAGGATCATATCATATGCAAAATTATACAAAATTTATGGAATACGAATCACAAGAAACCAATCCAGCAATACTTTTTGGTAGTCTCTTAATTGACATCGGTTATACAAATTTTGCAAAATCTTATTTGGAATATTTACTCGAAACACCAATGAAGTATGATCAAGATCTGGCGAATATTTATCATAACTTGGGTCGTGCAATTCGTGCTCAGGGAAACTTTTTCGAGGCCAAAATTTATTATGAATATGCCTATGAAATACGCAAAACTCGTGATGATAAATTCGGTATTGCTAGATCATTAATTGGACTTGGATACATCTATTATGTATTAGGATATCATGATCGAGCAATCGAATATAATCAACAAGGCATTCTGTTGCTAAAATATCTTCTCAAAACATCTGATCATATTCTTATTGGATTAGCCCTTTTAAATATCGGTTCAGTGTACTTCACCAATGAAAAGTATGATGTAGCACTCTTTTATTTTCTTGAACAATTATTTATGCATAACAGATTATTTGATGGTGAACATCATTATTCGATATCACCGTTGATTGAAATTGGAAATGTTTATCGTATAAAACAAGATTATAAATTAGCTTCAAGGTACTATAAAACAGCTTTAATGATTTGCGAAAAACATTTACCGTCTGATAGTCCACTTAAACTCAATACCTACTCAAGAATTGCTTATTGTTTCGAAGAAATACGAGATAATCAATTAGCATTTGAAATTTACGAAAAAATTTTGATCATTCAGAAAAAATTCTATTCAGAAAGCCATCCAAACATTGCACAAATTCAGTTACAAATGGAACATACGAGACGAGAATCAATAAATAAAAGTACTTAATGACTACCGTTTTCACTCACATACATTCTCTCATTTCGTTCTTTTCTATGGACATCTGACAGAATGTGTAGATAAATCATACGTTTAGGAATAAAATCTCGATAAAATACGATCGAATAATCAAATAAAGAATTTTGATTCAAAAGTTTGTGCCAAACGCACATTTGATTACTAATGATATTCGCGCCATCTATGTGATTTTCTGATGGAATGTAATATGTTCGATATCCAATGAGAAAACAGCGAATGAATCATCAATGTTTCAATAGTTGCTGATTTGTTTATTTATTATTCTCGTAATATCTTCTTTGATTTTGAATTCTATGTTAATAGAATAGAATATTTTGGTTTATTGAACAATGCAATCTATTCTAAAACTGAACAGTCGTCGTGTATTATCATCGATATTACCATCATGCCGATCGATTACGACTAATGTATATCTTGTTTTCAATGTTCGATTCATTTAGGAACTTCTTTTTCTTTTTTTGATTAATAGTTGGACACACCATGGCGAACAGCTTATGGTGGAAAATATACTGTAACATTAATTCATGGAGATGGTGTTGGACCTGAATTAATGCAACATGTCAAAGCCGCTATTCGGTACAGATTTCGTTTTTCTTTCAAATAAAATCATTTTTATGTTATTAAATAATTCACTTTAGATGTGTTCGAGCACCAGTTGAATTCGAAGATATTCCTCTGTCAAGTAATGAAGCAAGTGATGAAGTTTTCGAAAGAGCAATTACAGCTGTTAAACGTAATGGAATTGCAATTAAAGGTGACTTTTTTATTATTTGAAATTTAGATTTATTTCATTTCTTTAAGGAAACATTGCATCACAAAATACAACAAATTCTCTGAATGTTCTTTTGAGGTAAATGATTTATGAATGACAAAAATTCATTTTGAAAATGACAATTGAATTTAGAACACGTTTGGATTTATTTGCAAATGTTATTCGTTGTAAATCAAGTCCTGTTGTACCTACACGTCATTCGGATATCGATATTCTTGTCATACGTGAGAATACAGAAGGAGAATATAGTTCACTTGAACATGAAGTTAGTTATTCGATTCCATTGAATATTGTTGTCAATGCTTTTTTTTAAATCTATTTAGTCAGTTCCTGGAGTTGTAGAAAGTCTGAAAGGTGAAATTTCATCAGAAAAATATAAACTCAATTCTATGTTGTTTACTTTGTTTTCAGTTATAACACGAGCGAAATCTCTTAAAATCGCTCGTTTTGCTTTCGAAATTGCCAAACATGCAGATCGAAAGAAAGTCACTGCAGTTCACAAAGCAAATATCATGTAAAATAGAAATTTACAGAACTTGTCTTTTTCATCTCTAAGTATTTTTAGGAAATTGAGTGATGGTTTATTTATTGAATGTTGTCGAGAGATCGCCGCTGAATATCCGGATATCAAATTCGATACAATGATTGTTGACAATACCTGTATGCAATTGGTTAATCGACCAACACAATTTGATGTAATGGTTATGCCAAATTTATATGGAAATATTGTTTCAAATGTTTGTGCGGGTCTTGTTGGAGGATCGGGATTTGTTGCCGGATCAAATTATGGCGATCATTTTGCAGTTTTTGAACAAGGAACAAGAAATACAGGTCTTGGGATTGCAGGAAAAAACATTGCAAATCCATCAGGAATTCTTTTTGCTGCAGCAAATATGTTGAAATATTTAGGGTAAATAAAGACGAATTTTGTTCGAGAACAAAAAAAATAATAAAGATTTCTTGTTCAATTAGATTGGATCAACATTGTTCAACAATAAAAAATGCTGTTTTAAATACAATTCAAGAACATAAAATCAAAACTCCAGATATTGGTGGTACAGCAACAACTACACAATTTATCGAATGTGTTCTCAATGAAATTATTAAATTAACTCCATCAATTGGATTTAATTATGAAATGCAAAAAGCAACTCATGCTTTCAGATTTAAAGATATCGATTAAAACTTTTCTTTTCCTTTCCGCTCTTCTTCTTGTCATAGTCATGTAGAACCAACCTTGATACTTCATTTTTCTTCTCGGTTTCTTTTTGCGAAAATATCTCATGAAAGACAACAAATAAATAATGTTTTGGAGATGAAAACAAGTCAATTTATATTTGTATCATTTGTCTACAAAATGTACTTCAAATATCTCTCGAGTAATTCTCAGTAATTGACTTTTCCTAATGAGATTATAAACTAAACTATTTGTGAATTATACATTTATGAAATATATATTCATATCCATTCAATTAACTTTGAGATTCGTTTGGACTTTTAAAGTTTATGTACCGGTTGATTATAGCGACATCTCCAAAAATGATTACATATATATATATGAATTCGAATTTAAACAAATAGAATAATTAATCGAGTAATAACCAGAATAACTACCCATGAGTAGTTTGAAAAAGCAGATGAATTCGACTATCACTAGGTTATTCGTTCAATATTCATCATTGCAAATCTTAGAAGACAAAATTTGGTTTGTTTTTCTTTAAGATAATGTTGAATTACCTCCGTTCATATCTTATTCGACATTTGCTGAATATTGAACAGAGAAATTATCGATATGTTCATCAGATATCTCCGTCATCGATAAAATTAAATTCAACAATGAAGACTTTGATTGCAAATCACCAATATAAAGAAGCTCTGGATTTATTTGAGAAAAAACTTTCAATACATACAGATGCAACATTTGTTTTAGCTTTAAAAGCATCTACTAAATTATCTGATCATCAACGTGGTATCACTATTCATCAGCAACTTCCATTGAAATCGTTGAAAAATCTACATATTCAAACTGCGCTAATTCATTTTTACAGTAAATTCTGAATATCTATATGAGAATTTCAAATTGTTCTTTCTAATTCTTTCCAGTGCAATCCCATCGAGTAAATGATGCTGAACAAATTTTCTCAACTGTTGAAAAAGAAAACCTTTTTATATATGGTGCAATGCTCAAAGGTAAATCCATCTTCGAGCATTTTCTCTTTGAATTTGAATCGAATTGATCTTTAGGTTATCTTTCAAACAATATGCCTGAGAAAGTCTTTGAACTCTACAAAAAAATCTCCATCAAATTAGACACAGTTATTATGACAATCTTCTTCAATGCTTGTGCCAAAATTTGTGATGATCATGCAATTCAAATTGGAAATGATGCTTTTGAGAAATTACCAAAATCTTTTCTTGAAAATCCAAACTTAATTCGCACAATCATTGATATGTTTATGAAATTTCATAATGTTGAACGTGCTGAATATTTATTCAAACAAATGAAAAAGATCGATTCATCAATTTATGGAATAATGATGAATGGTTATAAAATGAACGATCAACCNCGGCCATACCACGTTGAATACACCAGTTCTCGTCCGATCACTGAAGTTAAGCAACGTCGGGCTCGGTTAGTACTTGGATGGGTGACCGCCTGGGAATACCGAGTGTCGTAAGCTTTTTGCTTGTTTTTATTTTAAAAATTAGGATCAAAAGGTTCTGTAAATCAAGATTAGTAAGAGTCTAAGTCATGTAACATTCATTTTTTTATTAGTTTCGTATAAATACCATTTACATCATTAGGGAATTTTTTATCACAAGGATTAGGATTTATTGAAATAATGGCTTGAGAGTAATATTGAATCAGCAGATATTTTAAGAATATGATGCGAATGCACACACTTTTCTAGTTCGCCAAGAGCTTTCTTTCTGCACGAATATATCAAAATTTAACTAATTAGATGATGATTCATCTGTACAAGGGGCTGATAAATCGCCTGACAACGCGCTTCTTCACCATGAAGATTTGATTATGCCTGGTGACGATGAAAGTCTTCATTGTATGATTAATATCAGAATATTCGAAAGAGTTCTTCGCCAACCTTTATGTACTAAACCACGATGTTTCGTCTATGATCGTTTATGACAAAGACAGAGGAGAAAAACATCCATTATTCGACTTTCCCTCGAATTACGGTGTGCGCAATTGTGTTGGTCGAATCAATTTTAAGTTAACATCCACTTTTTTATGTCTGTTTGAGCTCTTAGTGTATTCCACGATTTAGTCCTTATTGAGCATAAGATCTAATTATTCATTCAGATCATCCTATATTGCTTCAAATGTCTAGCAATACCAATACAAATACACGATTATGTCTGTGGATACAGTACTAATTTCGTGTTCGATTTATCGTTACACCTCTTATTTTCACGTGTTTCTAGCCAGCAACACGGAAGTTCGATTCAAAGAAAAACATTTTAATTGCAAAATACACGTTCGATGCGACCGTCCATCTGTTTCATTGATTCTTTTTTTCTCTTACGTCTATAACGATTAAGACATGACCTGAGAAATTCATTAGCCAATTAAGACACAACATATAAAACATGCAAAAAGAAGCTGCACCAACATAAGTTATTTCCTTTACTTTCAGAAGAAATTTATCTTTTTGTTATGGCGGTCGATCCCGTAAGTTCTTTTCCTCAGCACTCATCCCATCAGTTCTCGGTTCATACGATGAATGTACCCAGGTCGATCATTCCGGCGACTGGATCCGTTGAAATCTGAGTCGGTTTCGGTACAGCTCTTCTCGATTCCGGCACAGTTTTCGCCGATTCCAGCAAGCTCCGACAGGTTCCTTGCCGCCGGATTCCGGCCGGAATTGCACAGGAAATATCCGATCAGTTCCTGGCCGTTTCCAACTCGAAGTTTGCAGGAAACGGTCGGAAAACGAACCTGACCGGCCGGAACCGACCGTGCCATAATAACCTGGGTATGTATGTATAGTCACAACAGAAGTAGACCATGTCGAAAACAAAATAGGTTAGTCTTAATGATCGATGAAGCAATGAAAAGATGTGTCATCGAGCCTAGTCAGATATTAAAACACTGAACGATTTGATGAATAACAGATAATAAATTGAAACGACTAGCTCCTAATAGTCTTGTTCAATGATAATTAACCTGAAGACACCGTCGCTTGTTTGAAGATTTTCGTTAGGAGAATTTCTATCAATGATTTGCATGGCCGCATGAATCTTCATTTGCTACTGAAATTGTGCTTCTGTTCATTTAATTATGAAATATCTTGTTATTTGTTTGTTTAGCTCGAACAACTGGTGCAGCAAATCGACGCCATCGATACGTTCGTAAACAATTTGATGTTAAAAGTAGCTAATGGCGAAGTTATCACGGTCGTCGATCTTCAAAGAGCGTTAAGAGATGCTGCAGCACGCCCATTACTTTATGAAGAAAAAGAACGCTTACGAAAAGGTACGTCACTGTTTGTTGAGCCTTCGAAAAATTCATTGCAAACATGGTTCGTGTTTTTATTTAGAACGTAATCGGTTAGATGGTATCGTCGATCAATAGTTCGACAATAAGCGTTCGGCAGATGGTGAATTTACTTATTGGATTTTCTCATCTATTTGCTCATTAATTTTCATGTCTTCATTCAACTATTATCTCATGTTCAATATCCATTTTCAAGAATAAAAGAAAAACTTGGTTCGCAAAAGTGTAACTCGATTGTACTAGCTTTGAACAAGTTGTCGTTTTAGTCTCCAAGCAAATCAGAATTCTAGTGAACATGAGCTAGCATCTACACATCAATGCCACTGAGAATTTTCATTTGATTTTTCTTCGAGAGTGTGGTTCATATTAATTGTCTCTTGAGAAGTAAATGAGTCATCATTGGCAGTAAGGAAGAAAATACTTATTGACTAAAATCACGTGAAAACGTAAAAGAACTGCTTGTCAGTGTCGTCAGATACTGCGATCTCAACACAATGTTGACTTTGTACATCACGCGATATAGTCTATTGTAATCTGTTGACTGTCGTTTTCTCTTTAACTTTTATAGGAAATATCGGTACAGTCTACATGTTTTTAACCGGAAACTGTTTTTTTTGTAATGATCATGATTATATGTCAATAGTAGCGCGAAATCGCGCCAGCGTGTATCAGACTAATTCATTTGAACCGTTAAATTTAGATTCAAATGTGTTAATGAAGAAGAATTCTCGTCTTTTCCCTCTATTATTACTCTGTGGTTGTATTGCAGTTAGAAAGCCATTAATTAATGTATCGGAATATTGATATCATTTCCACCCAATGCTTCATAGAAAATCTAATTAAATCTACATGATGAGTTTTGATGTGACCATAGCAATAGAAATTATTTTCATTTAACATCTTTCCTTCCCATCCCATCACAGCATCAATTTCCAGTCTATACTTCGGAAACAATCTATCGTATGATCGATTTTTATCATGCAATAATCATGAGTTAGTCCGTTTTTGTCATTAAGAATCACGGATGGAAGTGGATTGTTGATCCTTTAATTCATTGCTAATTAACAGACGAATCGCAATTAAGTTTTAGGCAATTTCGTTCCAGCTTTTCTTTCTATTTGTTGAAAATGGAATATATCTGCAAATGATTCTATTTGGAGTATGTTGACAACTTTCGAGTTGTGTGACACACTTTATATACGCAATTTTTCTTCATGTATTAAATAATCGAATTTTAATAGTTTTAATCGTTGAAAAATACACACGTGAGTTAAGGAATATGTTCATATAATATAAATCATATTGTTAAAATACATCCTTTATCCTTTCGAATCTCAGCTAATCTAATCAATGAATCTTTTTTCTTCTTCTTCTTCTTCTTCTTCATTATCATATTTCATCTAGAATTTCATGGTTGATTTATTTCAATGAACATTGTATAACTTTGAGTGTAATCTGGATGTTTCACGGTGATGTAAAATCCAGTTTGTATAAAAGTGACATCTTTTGAAAGACGATGCTTCACCAATGAAAAACACGTTCTGTTAGTCATAGAAATCCTCCTGATGACGATATATTTTATTTTTCTCAATATGAAGTAGATTGTTTGTTGTTGTTTTGCCGAATAATTCATTTAGTCAGTCGTATGATTTATTCTGCTAGGAAGAATCATCAAGAAACAACACGAAGAGCGTCACATTTCGTCTTTCTTTTGCAAATATTCTTATCAATAACAAACAATTTCTTCGTGTTTCAGATATTTATTTCGTTGAGTAAAAAGAAAGACAAAATCTTTCTTAATCATGAGTGGAAACAAAGGTGGCGTTTTGTCTCGAGTCTTTGGTGGTTCGGGTAAAGGTGGTGCTAAAGTTAAAACAGCTCAAACACCTCAAGAAGCAATTCAACAGCTGCGTGATGTCGAAGATGTTCTCAATAAAAAAGTTGAACATTTAGAAGCAAAAATCAATGAAGAAACAGCAATTGCTCGACGAGATGCACGAACAAACAAACGTAATGCTTTAAATGCATTAAAACGAAAGAAACGATTAGAAAAAACTTTACAACAAATTGATGGAACATTAACAACACTCGAATATCAACGTGAAGCTTTACAAGTAAAAAAATATTAAAGATAAATATCATTGATTTCAAATGAATTGTGATTTAGAATGCTTCAATGAATGGACAAGCATTCAATGCATTGAAAGGTGCAACAAGTGCGTTGAAAAATGTTCATAAAGAACTGGATGTTGATAGTGTTCAAGATATAATGGATGAATTAGCTGAACAACATGAATTATCCACTGAAATTGCCAATGCCATTTCAAGTCCAATTGGTAAAATAAAGAAATCTTTAGAAAAATGAAAATTAATTTGATTCTTGTAGGATTTGGTGCTGAAATCGATGAATTTGAATTGGAAAATGAATTAGCACAATTGGAACAAGAAGCATTATCGAAAGAAATGGCACAGATTGAATTACCAACAGTACCTGCTCAAACGGGAACTTATGCGAAACCCGTTGCACCTACAGCAACTAAAGATCCATTTGCTGAATTAGCACAATGGGCATCATAAGAGAAAAGATAAATAAAGACTAGAAACCGGTTATTGTCGGTGCATTCCCCTTCTTTCATTCGTTTCTATTTATTCAGAATTATTTTATAAAGATAAACAAACAAAGTATTCTTCGAATTATCGAATTTTTCTTTTTCGTTCATTTTCTCTCTACTTTGTATACATACGCTCTTCTCATTTCTTCTGTTTTATATTCATTCTTTCTAACATCGACTTGATAATCATTCGGAAAAAATAAAATTTAAATCTCCCGTCAATCTTTGTTTTTCTCTCCCACACGATTCGAAAAATTCTCAAATACAAACTGACATTTCGATTACTCATTCAATATCGTCATATCATCAATGACGAATAATTTTATCATCAACGAACTGATAATGACACTTCTGAATTAATTCTTTGTAGATATGAATTTATCATCAGTCGAAATCGATACACATTTTCCTGTTGGAGAATGTTTACCTAAACAACCAACGGGAGCTTTACAATTATTAACAAAACATCCTCAATATGATGGACGACAAGTTACAATTGCAATTATTGATACAGGAATTGATCCTGTAGCCAATGGACTTCAANGCTTCTGTTCATTTAATTATGAAATATCTTGTTATTTGTTTGTTTAGCTCGAACAACTGGTGCAGCAAATCGACGCCATCGATACGTTCGTAAACAATTTGATGTTAAAAGTAGCTAATGGTGAAGTTATCACGGTTGTCGATCTTCAAACATTAGTAAGAGATGCTGTAGCACGCCCATCACTTTATGCAGAAAAAGAACGCTTACGAAAAGGTACGTCACTGTTTGTTGAGTCTTCGAAAAAATCATTGTAAGCATGGTTCGTGTTTTTATTTAGAACGTAATCAGTTAGATGATATCGACGATCAATAGTTCGACAGATGGTGAATTGACTCATTGGATTTTCTCATCTATTTGCTCATTCATTTTCATGTCTTCGTTCAACTATTATCTCATGTTCAATGTCCATTTTCAAGAATAAAAGAAAACTTGGTTCGCAAAAGTGTAACTCGATTGTACTAGCTTTGAACAAGTTGTCGTTTTAGTCTCCAAGCAAATCGGAATTCTAGTGAACATGAGGTAGCATCTACACATCAATGCCACTGAGAACTTTCATTTGATTTTTCTTCAAGAGTGTGGTTCATATTGATTGTCTCTTGAGAAGTAAACGAGTCATCATTGGCAGTAAGGAAGAAAATACTTATTGACTAAAATCACGTGGAAACGTAAAAGAACTGCTTGTCAGTGTCGTCAGATACTGCGATCTCAACACAATGTTGACTTTGTACATCACGCGATATACTCTATTGTAATCTGTTGACTGTCGTTTTCTCTTTAACTTTTATAGGAAATATCGGTACAGTCTACATGTTTTTAACCTGAAACTCTGTTTTTTTTTGTAATGATCATGATTATATGTCAATAGTAGCGAGAAATCGCGCCAGCATGTATCAGACTAATTCATTTGAACCGTTAAATTTAGATTCAAATGTGTTAATGAAGAAGAATTCTCGTCTTTTCCCTCTATTATTACTCTGTGGTTTTATTGCAGTTAGAAAGCCATTAATTAATGTATCGGAATATTGATATCATTTCCACCCAATGCTTCATAGAAAATCTAATTAAATCTACATGATGAGTTTTGATGTGACCATAGCAATAGAAATTATTTTCGTTTAACATCTTTCCTTCCCATCCCATCACAGCATCAATTTCCAGTCTATACTTCGGAAACAATCTATCGTATGATCGATTTTTACCATGCAATAATCATGAGTTAGTTCATTTTTGTCATTACGAATCACGGGTGGAAGTGGATTGTTGATCGTTTAATTCTCATTGCTATTTAACAGACCAATCGCAATAAACTTTCAGGCAATTTCGTTCCAGCTTTTCTTTCTACTTGTTGAAAATGGAATATGTCTGCAAATGATTCTATTTGGAGTATGTTGACATGTTTCGAGATTTGTGACACACTTTATATACGTCATTTTTCTTCATGTATTAAATAATCGAATTTTAATAGTTTTAATCATTGAAAAATACACACGTGAGTTAAGGAATATGTTCATAGAATATAAATCATATTGTTAAAATACATCCTTCATCCTTTCGAATCTCAGCTAATCTAATCAATGAATCTTTTTTCTTCTTCTTCATTATCATATTTCATCTAGAATTTCATGGTTGATTTACTTCAATGAACATTGTATAACTTTGAGTGTAATCTGGATGTTTCATGGTGATGTAAAATACAGTTTGTATAAAAGTGACATCTTTTGAAAGACGATGTTTCACCAATGAAAAACACGTTCTGTTAGTCATAGAAATCCTCCTGATGACGATATATTTTATTTTTTCTCAATATGAAGTTGATTGTTTGTTGTTGTTTTGTCGAATAATTCATTTAGTCAGTCGTATGATTTATTCTGCTATGAAGAATCATCAAGAAACAACACGAAGAGCGTCACATTTCGTCTTTCTTTTGCAAATATTCTTATCAATAACAAACAATTTCTTCCTATTTCAGATATTTATTTCGTTGAGTAAAAAGAAAGACGAAATCTTTCTTAATCATGAGTGGAAACAAAGGTGGCGTTTTGTCTCGAGTCTTTGGTGGTTCGGGTAAAGGTGGTGCTAAAGTTAAAACAGCTCAAACACCTCAAGAAGCAATTCAACAGCTGCGTGATGTCGAAGATGTTCTCAATAAAAAAGTTGAACATTTAGAAGCAAAAATCAATGAAGAAACAGCAATTGCTCGACGAGATGCACGAACAAACAAACGTAATGCTTTAAATGCATTAAAACGAAAGAAACGATTAGAAAAAACTTTACAACAAATTGATGGAACATTAACAACACTCGAATATCAACGTGAAGCTTTACAAGTAAAGAATATTATAGATAAATATCATTGATTTAGGATCAATTGTGATTTAGAATGCTTCAATGAATGGACAAGCATTCAATGCATTGAAAGGTGCAACAAATGCGTTGAAAAATGTTCATAAAGAACTGGATGTTGATAGCGTTCAAGATATAATGGATGAATTAGCTGAACAACATGAATTATCCACTGAAATTGCCAGTGCAATTTCAAGTCCAATTGGTAAAATAAAGAAATCTTTCGAAAAATGAAAATTAATTTGATTTTTGTAGGATTTGGTGCTGAAATCGATGAATTTGAATTGGAAAATGAATTAGCACAATTAGAACAAGAAGCATTGTCGAAAGAAATGGCACAGATTGAATTACCAACAGTACCTGCTCAAACAGGCACTTATGCAAGACCTGCTGCACCTGCAGCAACTAAAGATCCATTTGCTGAATTAGCACAATGGGCATCATAAGAGAAAAAAAAACACTACAAATAAAGACTAAAAACCGGTTGTTGTCGGTGCATTCCCCTTCTTTCTTTCATTTCTATTTATTCAGAATTATTTTTCAAAGATAAACAAACAAAGTATTCTTCGAATTATCGAATTTTTCTTTTTCGTTCACTTTCTCTCTATTTTGTATACATACGCTCTTCTCATTTCTTCTGTTTTATATTCATTTTCTTTCTAACATCGACTTGATAATCATTCGGAAAAAATAAAATCTAAATCTCCCTTCAATCTTTGTTTTTCTCTCCCACACGATTCGAAAAATTCTCAAATACAAACTGACATTTCGATTACTCATTCAATATCGTCATATCATCAATGACGAATAGTTTTATCATCAACGAACTGATAATGACACTTCTGAATTAATTCTTTGTAGATATGAATTCATCATCAGTCGAAATCGATACACATTTTCCAGTTGGAGGATGTTTACCTAAACAACCAACCGGAGCTTTACAATTGTTAACAAAACATCCTGAATATGATGGACGACAAGTTACGATTGCAGTTATTGATACAGGAATTGATCCTGTAGCCAATGGACTTCAAGTATAAGCAATGAATTTGGATTTATTTACTTTGAAAAGGATTTTTTTTCTTTTATTTAGAAAACAAGTACAGGAGATGTGAAACTAATTGATTTACGTGATAGTACAGGAAGTGGCGATGTGGATATTTCAACAATTGTTAAAATTACAAACCAAAGTGAAGAATTCATTCAAGGTTTATCGGGAAGAAAACTAAAAGTAAAATGAAAAAAAAAAGAATTTTCTTATTTTGGAAAACGGGGAAATTTTTGTCAAAAAGATTCCATCATCGTGGAAAAATCCGTCCGGAAATTATCATATTGGAATAAAAGCATTGAAACAATTGATTCCAAATGCTGCTTTCGAACGATTAAGTGTAAATGAGAGATTTTTGTTTGTGATCAAAGAATAGTTCGTGAATATTTAGAAAGAACGAAGAGAAAAATTTGATCTTGAACATCGACAAGCTTTAGCCGATGCACAACGTCAACTAGATGAGCATATTAGTAAATTTTCATCACCAAACGAAGTAAAACATCGTTCAAAAGAGATTTTCGTATTTTGAAATTTGTTTAAAAGGAACAAAAACTAATTCGAGAAGAATTTCAATCATTTGTTGATGCATTAAAAGAAGTCGAAAAGAAATACAACGATCCTGGACCATTTCTTGATTGTATTGCTTGGAATGATGGAGACAAATGGATGTAAGTTCATTGGAAATGTCATTCATTAATAAAATATCTTCATTTGTAGAGCTTGTATTGATACATCTGAACAAGGAGATTTAAATCAATGTAAATGTTTAACCAATTATTATGATTCTCATCAATTTGCAACATTTAGTGTCATTGGTTTGATTTCAAAAGATTAATTTTCTTTTTAAAATGAAAATGTTTGTCGATTTAGACATGGTCACGTATTCAGTTCAAATTCATCATGAAATTAATATTTTGGAAATTGTTGTTGTTGGAGGTGAGAATGTTTTTTATGAAGAAAATTATTGAAATTTATTCCAAATAGGTTCACATGNTTATCATCAGTCGAAATCGATACACATTTTCCTGTTGGAGAATGTTTACCTAAACAACCAACCGGAGCTTTACAATTATTAACAAAACATCCTCAATATGATGGACGACAAGTTACAATTGCAATTATTGATACAGGAATTGATCCTGTAGCCAATGGACTTCAAGTATAAGCAATGAATTTGGATTTATTTACTTTGAAAAGGATTTTTTTTTTCTTTTATTTAGCAAACAAGTACAGGAGATGTGAAACTAATTGATTTACGTGATAGTACAGGAAGTGGTGATGTGGATATTTCAACAACTGTTAAAATTGCAAACCAAAATGAAGAATTTATTCAAGGTTTATCGGGAAGAAAACTAAAAGTAAAATGAAAAAAAGACCTTTTTCTTTATTTTGAAAAATGAGAAAATTTTTGTCAAAAAGATTCCATCAACATGGAAAAATCCGTCCGGAAATTATCATATTGGAATAAAAGCATTGAAACAATTGCTTCCGAATGCTGCTTTCGAACGATTAAGTGTAAATGAGAAATTTTTTTTGTTTGTGATTAAAGAATAGTTCGTAAATATTTAGAAAGAACGAAGAGAAAAATTTGATCTTGAACATCGACAAGCTTTAGCCAATGCACAACGTCAACTGGATGAACATATTAGTAAATTTTCATCACCGAACGAAGTAAAAAATTTCTCAAAGCCAAATTTTGTATTTTAAATTTGTTTTAAAGGAACAAAAGCTAATTCGAGAAGAATTTCAATCATTTGTTGATGCATTAAAAGAAGTTGAAAAGAAATACAACGATCCTGGACCATTTCTTGATTGTATTGTTTGGAATGATGGAGAAAAATGGATGTAAGTCTATCAAAAATGTTATTTTTAAATAAAATATTTTCATTTCTAGAGCTTGTATTGACACTTCAGAACAAGGAGATTTAAATCAATGTAAATGTTTAACTAATTATTATGATTCTCATCAATTTGCAACATTTAGTGTCATTGGTTTGATTTCAAAAGATTAATTTTCTTTTTAAAATGAAAATGTTTGTCGATTTAGACATGGTCACGTATTCAGTTCAAATTCATCATGAAATTAATATTTTGGAAATTGTTGTTGTTGGAGGTGAAAATGTTTTTTTGTGTAGAAAATTATTGAAATTTATTCAAAATAGGTTCACATNAATTATTATGATTCTCATCAATTTGCAACATTTAGTGTCATTGGTTTGATTTCAAAAGATTAATTTTCTTTTTAAAATGAAAATGTTTGTCGATTTAGACATGGTCACGTATTCAGTTCAAATTCATCATGAAATTAATATTTTGGAAATTGTTGTTGTTGGAGGTGAAAATGTTTTTTTGTGTAGAAAATTATTGAAATTTATTCAAAATAGGTTCACATGGAACTCATGTTGGTGCGATATCTGCTGCTTATTTTAATGATTCATGTGAAGAAAATGGCGTCGCACCTGGTGCACAACTTTTGTCAATTAATATTGGTGATCATCGTTTATCAACAATGGAAACTATTCCATCATTGGTTCGAGCGGTAAGAGTTTTACTTTTTGAAGAAACAAAAATCTATTGAAAACATATGAATTGAATCAGATCAAATATTGTATTGATTATAAAGTTGATATCATTAATATGAGTTATGGTGAAGATTGTCATATTCCAAATTCAGGGTAAAAGACTTTTTTTTACGAAATAATTTGAGGACAAACGAGGCTCGTTGTATTCAAGACGTGTTCAAGACTTATTTAATGAAGCTGTAGAGAAACATGGAATTATATTTGTATCATCAGCTGGAAATAATGGTCCTGCTCTAAGTACAACAGGTGCACCTGGTGCAACATGTACAAATCTCATTGGTAAACAATTTAACAAAAACTATTTCATTGAATTTCTGAGATTTTCTTCTTTTAGGTGTTGGTGCTTATGTTACTCCAGAAATGCAATTAGCTGAATATGCATTGAGAGAATGTACAGGTTGTACAACACCATTTACTTGGTCTTCACGTGGTCCATGTCCTGATGGCTGGCTGGGTGTTTGTGTTAGTGCACCTGGAGCTGCAATTACAAGGTTTCTTTTTCTTTATATTCTTTTTAACATGGAAAATGTTTTTCGTATCTTAAGTGTTCCTCATTATAATTTATGTCAACGACAATTAATGAATGGAACATCAATGGCATCACCAAATGCTGCTGGTTGTGTTGGTCAGATTAACATTTGTCTTTAGAATTCTTTTGTAAAAAAAAATATTCTTTTCTTTTAGCTTTGTTGTTAAGTGCATTGAAACAAGAACGAATTGAATATAATCCATCGTTAATTCGTCGTGCATTGATGAACACTGCACAGAAAATCGATGATGAATTCTCTGTTGGTGCTGGTCTTTTACAAATTCATAAAGCTTTAGATTATATTCGTTCATTAGCTAAACCATCATTAATTTCGAAAATGCAATTCGATATAACTGGTGGACAAGGACGAGGAATTTATCTAAGAGATTTTGATCATGTACAAACAAGTTCAGGTGATATGCGTTTGACAATTAAATCAAAATATTTAGCAAAATCAACAAATCAACCAATCACTTATGATGGTAAAGCATTTTCTTTTTGTTTTTTGGGAAAAAAATTCTTTGTTTAGATCAAGAAATGAAAATCAAATTTGCTTGTCGTTTATCATTTGTTTGTGATCCACCAGTTAGTTATGTTCAACATGGGAAATATCTTGATTTAGCGTATACAGATCGAACATTTGATATTCGAATCGATCCATCACATTTAAAAGAAGATCAAGTTCATTTTACTGAATTACAAGCATTTGATATCAATCAAATCAATGCAGGACCATTAGTTCGTTTTCCAATTACAATTATTAAACCTTTACGGTAAATATTCATTAAATCAACAACTAAAACAAAAGATTTCTTTTTATTTTCTAAAATAGAATTGATACTCCAAATTATTCTTTACAATTTTCTTCTCAAACATTCAAAGCTGGTCAAATTCGTCGTCATTTTCTTGAAGTTCCTATTGGCGCAAATATTGCTGGTTAGTGTTTTGAAATCTTTTCTATACAAATAATGATTTCTAATTGAATAGTATTCAAAATAATGAACAATTCGTCTGATATATCTGCTCAAATGAATTTACATTTTGTTCAACTCGAACCAGGTCGTTCATTTCGTTTAACGGAATACGAAAAACTGATTCGTTTATCTCCAAATTCAACTTTTGAATGTTATTTCAATGTTCAAGACAAACATACATTAGAATTATGTTTGGCACGTTGGTGGTCAAGTTTAGCGATTATTGATACAAATTATTCAATTGAATTTCATTCGATTTTAATTTCACCAACACTTTCATTACATTTACGTAGTAGTCAATCATATGAAAGATTTCTTTTGGAAAATCGTTTGAATAATACTTATGAAGATATCAATGGTTTACCAATTATTAATTGGAAATTTCTTGTTCAAACATTGAGACCGAATAAAGATGAAAGTAAAATACAAATTTTGTCCAAACGGGATTGTTTAACTGAACAAAGACAAATTTATCAATTGATCTTAACTTTTAATTTTACTTTGGTAAGATTTACTGGGCTTTTTTTCCAAATCGAATCGAGTTTCTTCTGTGTTTTCTTTAGTTGAAAGCTTCGGAAATCCAAGTGAAATGTCCATATTTACATGAATTGCTCTATGATAATGAATTTGAAGCAGCATTATGGATGTGTTTCGATGCAAATAAACAATATTTAGGTTCAGGAGATGTCATGAAAGATGTAAGAGATACAAATCTTCTTTGTCTTTTCTATAGAAATTCATTTCTTTACAGTATTCATTAAAATTGGAAAAAGGAGATTTTGTAATTCGAATGCAAATTCGTCATGATAAATCTGATCTCTTAGAACGTTTATTAAAAGATTCATCGGGAAATGGTTTAGCATTACATATCGAACACAAAGTCACTGGTCTTCCCACATCTGATTTTTATTATTCATTAGATTGTTTACATACACAAAAGAAGAAGATTCAGACATCATCCATTAAATTACAATGGGGTCATCAACTTCCAATTTATATGACAACGGTTCCAGAGGACAAGTGAGTTTTTCTCTTCGAACTTTTTCTTCGAAACTATTTTGATGGTTTAGACTTCCGAAAGTGATTAATTCAGTAGCTGGAGTGTTCTTACAAGGAACAATGACAATTCCAAAAAATGAAAAAATGAAAAAATTGGTTCGAATCTTCATTGAAGTTCATTTTTTCTCGAATAAAATTTGTGTTTTTTTAGGAAATGAATAATATTTATCAATATTTTACTGAACCAATTTCAACAAGTTCATCGAGTTCTTCGAAGAAATCTTCATCGAACAATACTTCAAATAGTTCGAAGAAACAAATCAGTTCTCCAACAATTGAAGATGGAACAACAAATAATTCATCATCAACAAAAGATCAACAATATCAAGAAGCTTTACGAGATTTGAAAATTTCATGGATTTCCAAGTAAATTTTCAAACCAATTCTCTTCTTTTGCACCATATTTATTTAGATTCAATGATGAACAAAATAAATTATACGAAGAATTATTAAATGAACAATCAGATTTAACAACTTATGTTCCATTACATCTCGCTCGTCTTCAACAATTGGAAAATCAATTTAAACAACAACAAACACATTTAACCAATGAGAAAAAAGATGAAAAATTACATGAAATTAGTCAATTTATTCAAACAAAACTTTTGTCATTATTCGATGAAGATCTTATTTTGAAATTTTTTGGACAAAAAAATTCTTCATCCAATGAAAAAGATATTCAAATTCTTAAAAAGTATTTCAACACTTTGACAAGAGTTTCATTGAAACAAAATTCTTTATTTTAGTGATATGGAAAAACGTCGAAATTGGTTTATTGATATTTATATCGCATTAGGAATGTGTTTATGTGATTTATCGAATATAAATGATGAAGTTTCAAATCAATTAACGAATATTTGGAAAACTTTACAAAAACATATCGATCTGAATGACACAAAATTAAATAATTTTCATTATAAATTTCATTTAATGAAAAAATCTTATGGAAAAGTTTGGAAATTACTTTTAAAACAAATTGAAGATAAATCCGCATCTCAACAACAAGAATATGACAATAAATTACTTCAAGTAAATTAAATCATTTTCTTAAAAATCAAATCATTGATATTTGTTTAGCTTTATCAAACAATGAATATGAAATATTTAATAACATATCAAGAACGATTAATGATCGCTAAATATCCTTCATCATACGTCCTCTTTTAGTTTCTTTCAATCTTTTTCTTTTCTTTTCACAAATAAAACTTCTCGTAGATATCGAAATCTTTCTATTTTTTTTTCTTTTTAGATTTAATTATGACTTTTGATGATAATACAATTGATATTCATTTAACAAAACTTGTTGGTGAGTTAAATGAATAGTTAACGAAGTTTTAAAGAAAAATTTTTTTTGTATATAGATTGGCTTGTTGATCGTCGTCATTGTTCAAAAGATTGGAATGAAAGATCTGTTGCTATTCGAGCAAAAATTCAACAAGCGATCTTAGATATGCCTGAACATGATGAAATCAAAAGATTACTTGGATCTTCATGTAACAAAATACAAATATTTTTAGTTGTGAATAAATATTTCTTCTCGGATTTAGATTTGGATTATTTTTGTTGTTTGAAAATTGTTGAAATATTAAAAGAAACAGAAAAAGAAAGTAAAAATATGTTTGGAATGTATTCGTCTCAACGAATGAAAGTAAAAATTCATCAGTGAATCTCTTTTACACATGACATTTTCTTTAGGATTGGCGAACAATCGTTTCAAATTACGAAAAAAATTCGGTTTATCTAGGTGAGTGTTTTACAATCGAAGGATACAAAGAAAAAACGATTTTCTTTAGTTGAAAGTGCACAAATTCTTCAACGAAATGTTGCATTTGAAATTCCTGCTTTAAGAAAACATATCAATAAATGTCAACAAATTCGTGATGAATGTCACACACGTCATGCGGAATTAGAAAAGAATATTCATGAAATTGAGAAACAATACACTCAATTGTGTCATGATATGTCGATTAAAGTTCGATTTTAAGAAAATCGCATTTCTTTGTTTCTCATTTGAATCAATTTAGGGTGAAAATGTCCAAAAAGAATTAATTCAACGTATTGAATATTTACCCAATATTTGTACGGAATTAGTCAATGGTGAAACAAGTTTAATCGGTTTATTGAAACCAACTGTAGAGTTTTATATTGAATTTATGAAACATTTTCATTCAACAACAAAATCTGATAATGAAGAATATCTTCCGATATTGAAATATTTAATTCAATATGGAAATACAACTGTTTATCAATGGAAAACAGGTGGTCATGCTCCTGTTAGTATTGAACGACCCGCATTGAATTACAAATTTGCAGAAGCTGCAGAAATGAACGAAACAGAACCGAACATCATTCTTGGTTTAGACGATGATGACAATTTGGCAACAACAATTGAAGGAATTGAAGTGAAACAAACAGCTGAACAATCGGATGTGATTGATTTTGATATTGTATTGGAGAAGATTTCGTTTTCTCCTTTACAATCTGAATGTTGTTCATTTGCTTAGGAACCAGAAATTGATTGGTCTGCCATTGACACAGTTCCTGAACTACTTGATCCAGCCTTGACATCGAATGGTACTCATCCAAATTCAATTCCTGATGCGCTAAGAGAGGCAGCAACTAATGGAGCGACTCATCCAAGTAGATTTTCATCTATTTTTTTCTTCATTTCATTTGTATTGAATTTCTTACTTCAATAGCGGATGATGGAATTGCTCGTGGAAATGATGCATTAACTTTGTTGGAAAATCGTCAAACATATACATTGTTTATTCACGAACTTCATCGAGTTAGTTTAGAAGATTGAGAAATGATCAACTAGAATGTCTTTTTCTTTTCGTTAAGATTCAATCGTTTTTAAAACAACGTCTCAACGAATATCACGTTAATGAAACGATTTTGATGACGTTTATCATGCAAAATGCACCAAGTTCCGTTCAAAAAATCAATGAAAATGGTAAAAGAAAGCGGAGAGAAATTCTTATTGAATGAGCATTGTTCCTCTCTTTGAAGATTTGAAAACATTTTTGAAAAATATTGATTCGATCTTTACATCGGTTGCTCAACGACAGATAGATCGTCTATTTTCCATGCGTGATTCGTATAAATTTGTTGATCGTCTTGTCAATTCTTTTCAACAAAAGAAAGTTGCAGTGGAAAGAAATCGTCTGCAACAAAAAGAATTAGAAGAAAAAGCAGCAAATTCGTTGAAAGAAGAACAGGAAATCAAAGAGAAACTGAATCTTTTAATTTCTTATACTAAACAACTTAAAGAACAGGTTTGATCGGATCGATCAATAGGCAAAGTTGATTCATGTTTGGTCTTCTTTAGGTTGCAAAAGAAATTTCCGTGAAAAAATGCCAAAACCGACGTATCAATATTATGGGCGAAATCAACACATTATAAAGATTTTTATTTATTTGAGTTTTTCTTTCTAAAGAATCGTGCAATTTGTCTTTATGAGATTGGTTTTATCATTGTATACACATGAATAAAGCAAATGAAGGGCTGTTTCATCATTTACATCACGTATCGATAATTAAACATCTGTTTTTCTCAACAATTTCAATTGAGAATAAAAGAACCCTTTTTTTTAAAGTAAAATTGNAAATATTTAATTCAATACGGAAATACAACTGTTTATCAATGGAAAACAGGTGGTCATGCTCCTGTTAGTATTGAACGACCCGCATTGAATTACAAATTTGCAGAAGCTGCAGAAATCGACGAAACAGAACCGAATATCATTCTTGGTTTAGACGATGATGACAATTTGGCAACAACAATTGAAGGAATTGAAGTGAAACAAACAGCTGAACAATCGGATGTGATTGATTTTGATATTGTATTGGAGAAGATTTCATTTTCTCTTTTACAATCTCAATATTGTTCATTTGTTTAGGAACCAGATATTGATTGGTCTGCCATTGACACAGTTCCTGAATTACTTGATCCAGCCTTGACATCGAATGGTACTCATCCAAATTCAATTCCTGATGCGCTAAGAGAAGCAGCGACTAATGGAGCGACTCATCCAAGTAGATTTTCATCTTTTTTTTTCTTCATTTCATTTTTATTGAATGTCTTTCTTCAATAGCGGATGATGGAATTGCTCGTGGAAATGATGCATTGACTTTGTTGGAAAATCGTCAAACATATACATTGTTTATTCACGAACTTCATCGAGTTAGTTTAGAAGGTTGAGGATGAGAAATGATCAACTAAAACGTCTTTTTCTTTTCGTTAAGATTCAATCGTTTTTAAAACAACGTCTCAACGAATATCACGTTAATGAAACGATTTTGATGACATTTATTATGCAAAATGCACCAAGTTCCATTCAAAAAATCAATGAAAACGGTAAAAAGAAACGGAAAGAAATTCTTATTGAATGAGTATTGTTCCTCTCTTTGAAGATTTGAAAACATTTTTGAAAAATATTGATTCGATCTTTACATCGGTTGCTCAACGACAAATAGATCGTCTATTTTCCATGCGTGATTCGTATAAATTTGTTGATCGTCTTGTCAATTCTTTTCAACAAAAGAAAGTTGCAGTGGAAAGAAATCGTCTACAACAAAAAGAATTAGAAGAAAAAGCAGCAAATTCGTTGAAAGAAGAACAGGAAATCAAAGAGAAACTGAATCTTTTAATCTCTTATACTAAACAACTTAAAGAACAGGTTTGATCGGATCGATCAGTAGAAAAAGTTGATTCATGTTTGGTCTTCTTTAGGTTGCAAAAGAAATTTCCGTGAAAAAATGCCAAAACCGACGTATCAATATTATGGGCGAAATCAACACATTATAAAGATTTTTATTTATTTGAGTTTTTCTTTCTAAAGAATCGTGCAATTTGTCTTTATGAGATTGGTTTTATCATTGTATACACATGAATAAAGCAAATGAAGGTCTGTTTCATCATTTACATCACGTATCGATAATTAAACATCTGTTTTTCTCAACAATTTCGATGAGAAAATTGCATCCAAAAGTCGTTTAATTCGTACTGATTTTTTTATTTGTCTGAGTCAAGAGTTATTTCAATCGTAAAAATGCTGAGGTTAATTGTTGAATCACACATGTCAATACACACAAGAATTTCAATATACAGAAATATAACTACACAAAACACACAACAGAAAAAGTACACAAATCAACGTCTGTTAGGATTATGCCGTGTTCCCGGCAAAAACTTTTCATTTGAATTACTTAGATATTCGATGAAGTTGAATCACTGGAGTTATCTTGACACATATGTTTCACACGGTTCAGTTCTTCAGCAAGTTTTTGAAGTTTTTCGTCCAGTTTTTGGACTTTTTCATCCTGTTTTTGGATTTTATTTGACAAATCATTAAGACCTTGTTGTATTTCAGTAATAGAATTTTGTACTGAATTCAATGTATTTTTTAGCTGTGTTATTAAATGTAACACATCTTTCTCTTCTTTGTTCGTTAAGCACGTTGTTGGATTGATGTTCTAAAAAGTAAAGAATGGTTTCGCATAAGACTTATACTCTCAAATAAATGGATCATGTAGTTTACTTCTTGATCTTGAAGTGGTAAGAGATTATTCATCTTTTTATTGAACAAAAATTGAACAAGATCTTTCTAAACAAATAAAAAGGAACGAATTACCTTGGTGAAGCACATTTTTTCTTAAACAAACTAATGAAACGAAATAAATGATGTTTGCCGAGTTTTTAAATATAAAACACAAAGGAACAATGAAATCTCGCTCTTGGCGAGGGAAAGATTGATACAATGAAATACTTTTGATCGAATTTATTAAGTTTCAAAATTGAAATACTCTCGGAGATGTTAAAAAATTAAAAATATGGTTTCGACAAAATTATTAGGTTTTCTCATGAATAATTGAAAAGTATGTAAAAATAGATAATATCATCGATCACTAATGACATCTAACAGATCTAGGTAGTATTGTGATCTTTCTTTCCGTTCTTTTACAATCGATAGTTTCTAATTGATACTATCGCATGGATAAAGATTGAATGAAACTGTCAGCTATTCGTTTTCTACAATCATACTTTTATGCAATCAACGCTTGAATCCCAGAGAGCTCTGTGTATAGGTATATGGTATTTTGCAAACCGATATCTCATATCGAATGTGAAGATAATAAATTCAAATTGTTGAAATGCATTAAGTAAAGTCACATGAACAGAAAAGAGCTAATTTTTGGTACACATGACGAAGATATTGTCGATCCATTATCGTGAAATAATTCAAGTAAACTTGCTGCTGGTATGAATGGACATGCTACACAAACACATTTGTCATTGACTACAAAATGAAGAAAAAAGAAACGCTGGTTGAAGATCTTAAAAGAATACCAAGTTTTCGCATTTGATTTTCTTAATTATAAGATTAGTATAACCTACAATTTCAACTGATTATCCAGCGACAACTTCAGAAAATTTCAGAGAAAATTCAATGTCATCTATTAGAATATCATGATTTAAAAGAGTACACATGTACGGTTAAACAGAATGGTCACATCAAAAGGTTGAAAACTTCAGATCTTTTTAAAACAAGTTTTGGTTTCCAAAAAATGAAGATAGATAGGAAAAAATGATTTCTTCAGGCTAGTACAGTTTATTCTCATACGTTACCATCCAGTGGTTTATCTGTGCATGTTCATTTACGGGAAGCTTTTTTGCCGGGCTATCCATCTCAATACAAATGAAGACACTCGAGTCAACCATATTGTTACGTAGTAATAGGAAATACTTTTGAAGTCAAACGCTTCCAGAAAACGAAAAAATCATCACAAAGAAAAACGGAAAATAATCCACAAGCATAAAATCTTCTCGTAAAGATATTCAATAAGAAAATTCTTAAATCGAGAACAATCAGAAACTTTCCTATCCTTGTTTTTCAAAAGCTCTATAGTCATCCTATGACAGTTATTAGAAAACCTCATCAGCTCGGTTTAAATGAGGAAGAAGGATTCAATGAACATCGTTCATTAATCTATACCGAGACATAACCTTTAATTAAGATTATGGTTTGCCTATTATTGGTTCAGTTAGTAATCGTACCCAAAAATTTTCCAAGAATTGTTAATTTATTATTATCATCAATTACTTGCACTTCAAAATTTAAAGAAAATTATTTGATTTTTTTAAACAAAAGGAACTCTCTTCACGTTCAAGTGAACATTCAGCTTGTGCAATTGTATCCATTGATGATTGGCCAATAGCATCGGAGAGAAATACTTTAATCTAATAGTCAAATCGAGTTCATCTAGAAGTATTCGAAAGATTTCCAATAGTAATTAGTTGTCTAAACGATGATCCCGTACATACGATCATGAACTTTTGGATATGATCCGTATATGAAAATCAGTAGACACACTCTCGTCCTCTCAATGCTTTGAATTCATAAATTTCTCAATCTTCATGTCGCTTATTTTTCAGCGATTGCGTCACAAACTATTTTGCATAGCAATTACGCTGAAGAAAAGCAAAATTGCACACAATTGTGACAAAGCTGAGTTGCGATTTATTAGCAATAAAATAAACTTAGGTATTTAATATAATGAGATACTATGCAAATATTATTTGTAAACAAGTGTTCATAAAATAACAGTATAAAAATGTCAAAATGTTCCAAAAGTGTTTTCCATTTAACTTTTTGTATATCTTTGCACTTTGACCTAACTTAATTATTATGTTTTAAAGTAATAGATAAATATAATGAGTGTTTATCCAGATAAAAAATATCGAAATCATTGTTCAAATATTTTGAATTGTAAAACGAAATGGAAATACAAAAAATTTTTTCAAAGTTAAAAACAAACATAACGAAACATTTCTCTCTTAGTCGTAAGGAATTATTGAACATTTTGATTATTGAAAACTTTTGTCTACTCTTCTATCTTTATATTATCGTCAGAAAGACAGATCGATTGATATGACGTTTTAAGTTGAAAATCGACGTCACAGCTTTTTCATGTTATTTTTCAAACTTTTTTTCTAAATTGTGCTGGCATTTATTTTTAAATATTCGTTTGATCTTGGTTGAAAAATAAATATACGAAACACGTCGACGAAGTAATTCTTGCATTTGCTTTTGATTAAAAATCAATAGGAAAGGCAAAACAACGGACACTCTCATATTGATCAATTTGCCTCAGTGACAACGGAAAATTAATTAGCAAGTGACTGCTATATTTCTCATACCTGATGACGTCATGTGATATCGTTTTTGTTTATGCATGTTAGAATATATTTGTTGACACGACGACAGAAGTATTCACGAGGTAAATTTACTTCAGATATAGTTGATATAACTTGAAAGTTAAAAAGTGTCCAATTGAGATGAACAATACAGAAACTTCCAATGATGAACAAGTAATCATTTGGCTTGATCTAGACATATATAATGAGAATACAGACTATCGTTTAACTGTGGATATATTGCAAGAGATAAACTGTCGTGTTTTATTATTCAACAATTCTACAACCTGTGTGGATCATATTCGATCAATTTGAAATACAAAGAGATTTCTCATCA